CAGGGTCGGGATCGAACCCACGACCTCCTGTATAACAGGAGAGGTAGTTAACATCTCCTAGCCACCGTGATAATGATGACCCGCAAACTCCAAATATACAGCAGCAGGCATTGTCAGGGTCGGGATCTAACCCACGACCTCCTGTATACCAGGCAGGGTAGTTAACATATCCTAGCCACCGTGATAATGATGAGAGAGACCCGCAAACTCCAAATATACAGCAGCAGGCATTGTCAGGGTCGGGATCGAACCCACGACCTCCTGTATACCAGGCGAGGTAGTTAACATCTCCTAGCCACCGTGATGATGATGAGAGAGAGACACGCAAACTCCAAATATACAGCAGGCATTGTCAGGGTCGGGATCGAACCCGCGACCTCATGTATACCAGGCGAGGTAGTTAACATCTCCTAGCCACTGTGGCGCCCTTTGATCTTCGTTGTGCGTAGCCAACCGCGCTCATCGGAGGTGTTTGGGAGAACGCGCTTCTTCAAATGAGTTAGATATTCCGGCGGTGGACTATCTGTTTGCATAAACACGTGAAAAGTTCGCGTGCATTACAGGGAGGGTGGGAGGGGTCCAAGTTTCGACGGATTTTTGCGAACCTACTAAATGGATGGCCCCTTAAGACGAATGGTGCAGAAAGTGGCGAATCATTTTCCCCGGATGACCTGACCGAGATGGACGCGTTCAGCAGCTCCACTTCTGGATTATATTTGTTTCTGCCTGAGGACGACCGCTTGCGTTGCGATAGAAATAAACATCGTGATTTATTTTATTTTATACCTCGATAGAAATAAACATCGTGATTTATTTTATTTAATACCTACGTGTTTTTTTTTTACCGAAAGAACCAAAGAAGTATGGACGCGGACACCAGCAACAATTGATTTTATTTTTTTACACATTTATTTACCAGAATCTTTACGTCGACTGGCGGCGAGCTATAGTCGTGAATGCGCGTTCGCTCGCCAGCCCTGGAAACGATCTGACACCAAAACGATCAGCAAGGCAGCGGACTCATCGGAAAAGTCGTGGGGGGCAGGCCGGGGGTGCCTTGCCCCCCACTCCCCCGTTGTGGCCGCAGCTACGAGTTGTAGGCTCCCCCTTGACAAACCACCGTGAGATATTTCTTGTTGTGGTTTTCACACCTGATGATGATGATGATTGCTTGTGTTTGCAGTGGAAACGTCGTGAGAATTTTATTGTTTTATATTTTTATTATTTTGTTGTTTCCCTTCAACGTGATGACTTTACCGAAAGAACCAAGAATATATATACACCGTGAGATATGTTTTATATTTTTGATATGTTTTATATTTTTTATACGTTTTATATTTTTGATACGTTTTATATTTTTGATATGTTTTATATTTTTGATATGTTTTATATTTTTGATATGTTTTTCACAACAGCGTCAGAAATACAAAGTAGAGCAAACACATTTATTATTATTTTTCTTATTTTTCATTCACTTTTTAAAAATTATTTCATTGTTATTATTTTCTCTATCTACGTGACTTTACCGAAAGACCCAAAGAATATGAATTCCTGCAGTCACGAAAGCTTTAAGTCAAGATTTAAGAACAAACAACATCATTTAGAAACGCGGTTTGAATTAATGTTGTTCATGATAATGCTTCATGATGTGATTTAGGCAATTTAGGAGCCGCGACATACACGCAGCCTCGCTCACAACCGTGCGACACGAATCAAATATTGGTGTGGGCACCACCTGACCGAGCCGATAACCTCCTCGTTACTTCGCCACTTGAGTGAGATGACTGGCGGATGCATCACCATCTGTGCACCACATGCCAGCCACGCTAATCACGCCACCGCATTTGCCAACCCTAGTTCAGTTCATCTCTGCGTCCGGGTCTCTTCCCGTGTCCTCCTGCCAGCCAGCGGAGCCTTTCCACACTTCACGTGGCAGCCTCAGTGTGCACCCAGCCTGGCACAAGCGCCGCGGTGGGGGTCAACCGTCACTCGGTGGCGAATGGCGATTGTTGCTGTTGTGAGTATGTCAGGTGCGTTCGCACGGGCAGTGCCAGCTCTGAATTGTACTTCAAGTGGGGCGGTATCACCATTTACACCAGGGCTGGGGAACGTCTGGCCCTGCCAAGGCAACCGCAGGCGGGACTCGAAATTCAATAAATATAGGTAGAGCAAACCTGGAAAAGCAGTTTGCGAGTAGCAGCAACATCGTCAATACCAGCTAACATCATCACACGCCCCACCAAAGAGAAGCAGTTCCAGCCATCACATTAGGGGTGAGTTAATTAAATGTTTGACCGAATATAACGGGCTAATTTTTAAGTTGATAATTTTGTATGGCCCGAGAATGATGTTATAAATATCCAAGTGGCCCTTGGCAGAAAAAAAGGTTCCCCGCCCCTGCTTTACACGATGGTTCGGCGTGGGCTATCGATTCCATCTGCAATGTACACAATACACAAACGCATCACTTGTAAATGGAGCAAACGCTGCAGCAGGGCAAGCTTAATTTACAAATCAAATGTATTGTTGTCGGTGTGAAATTTCCTCCGTCATGTCACGGGGGAGCGCGTTCCGCTATGGTCGTTGATTGCACGACACACTGAGTAGTCATTTCCTCCACCGCAATTTACACGTTCGCTGGCTACTGTGCTCATGAGTTCCAGCAAGAGGATGAAACCAGTGAAGAGTCTATCAACTGCATCACTGCACAGCTGAAATCGAGTACAAAACCAACATGTAATGTGTCCGATCATTGGTGAGCGGGCTGAGATCACCGACTCGCTAATCTTGAGTTCTCACTCTAAACACAACTCAATGTAAATTTTGATTTAAAGCTTTCGTGACTGCAGTAATTCATATTCTTAGTTTTTTCGGTAAAGTCATAAAAAAATTATTGTTTTATATATATTTTATTATTTTGTTGTTTCTCTTCAACGTGACTTTTATATATATATTATTATTATTTTGTTGTTTCTCTTCAACGTGACTTTACCGAAAAAACTAAGAATACAACTCAATGTGTGTGTGTGTCTATGGGTGTATATGTTAATCAGTGGATCTCTTTGCAAGTCCGTGGGTTCCTAGGTTGATGAGCCTCCAAGTGAGTCTTTGCTTTCCTGTATAAATCGAATCCCACGTTATTTCAAAGTAAGATCTCACCGGTGCTGGCTCTACGCTCCGACCTCTGGGCCATCCAGTGACGTCCTGGGCAAGATACTTTAGAGGACTGCTATACACTTTGAAAACACGCAGACCAATGTAGCGCCCACGGTCGAAAGTTTCCATTATATAGGTCAAAGGTACACACGTCAGCATCAATATCGTACGTCTGTGGCTCCTTCTGATCAACGTTAGTCATTAGTCCACTCCGCAATATTACTCAAGTGCTGTGACTGACAGTGTGATGATTTTTGATTTAAAGCTTTCGTGACTGCAGTAATTCATATTCTTAGTTCTTTCGGTAAAGTCACGTTGAAGGGAAACAACAAAATAATAAAATATATATAAAACAATAAAAATTCTCACGACGTTTCGACCATAACACAAACCTGAAGACGACCGTTTGTGTTATGGTCGAAACGTCGTGAGATTTTTTATTGTTTTATATATATTTTATCATTTTGTTGTTTCCCTTAAACGTGACTTTACCGAAAGAACTAAGCATATAGTGTGATGATTATCATTTAGAAAGTAATATTGGAAGCACTTTGTTGGGTCTGCTGCGCCTTCTTACCTATAAAAATCAATAAGATAAAATATTTATATTTTCTGTATCGCTGGAAGGAGACCTTCTTCCCAAGCAGTGCCAATCGTGTGGTTACGTTCGACCATACTTCACCAAAGCAGTCAGTGCGGGTTGGTGATTGGAGGGGCCCAATTTGGGCAGGACCGATTCAGATATCACTTGCCACTGATGTTAGCCGTGGGTTTGGAAATAAGAGGCAGGATTGGGTGTTTACAGCGCAGCGGTGAGGTAACCACCGCGTCACCGTTCCACCGCAAACCTTTCTTCTGCGCAAAGATAAAACGATATCTCGAAGGCTTTCATTCACGCCTTGTGCAGGATGTCGATAATCTCACGGTGGGGTGGGATCAAGCACCGACTCGTACATTCAGAAGAGGAAAGCGAGCGTGGGCATAGGAAAGCGTCGATGATGTAATCCGGAGCGGGAGATTGTGACGGGTGTCGCTCATGGGGAAGCATTGCGTGCAGCCTGACGATTTGGAGCGCGTGCGTGCCCGCGCACGGACGCACGTGCGAGCCCACGCAGGATGGAGGAGGGGTTAACGGAGACGGATCGACGGGCGTTGGAATTTTTCAAGATTAGTTCAATTGACCACGTGAGAACTCGAATGATCAGCATCGTCTCATTTGCAAGAGGAACGTGTGTGGGGGGGGGGGGGGGGGGTCAGTCTACCAGTAAGTGGGGGGGGGGGGGGGGGGGGGCGATGATCGCTGGTGTGTGTGAGATCCAAATTCAGTGATTTGCGATATAAACTATACTAAACTAAACGATTTTTTTTATGTTACCAGGTAGGGCCCACTGAGCTATGTAGCTCTTCGTCAGAAGCGACCTGGCTATCACAAATGATAGTGCAACGAAGTGGCTTATCACGTACGCTAAACGCACGTTGATTTAAAATTTGGAGGGAAAAAGCGGAGGACTCGAGAAAAATGCACGCGACATCGGAGAGAGAAACATGCAAACGCCAAATATAGAGGCGTCAGGGTCGGGATCGAACCTATGCCCTCCTGCATATCAGGCTAGGTAGTTACTGTGGTGCCCCTTAGATATTTTTTTGAAATGAGCAAAGTTGGATGCTGACGCCAGGCTACTGGACATCTATGAAAAGTAGCTTTAAAGCTCATTGGATTCCTCCAGTATATATATAAATATTCTTATTCTGACAATGTGATGGCCTTATTCTTACGAATTAATGGCCGTGAGTGAAGCAGACAGCGCGGAGTGTACGGTACTTCGTTACCGGGTTTTTTTTTGTTACGGTTATTACAAACACAACCGCAGTAATAATCAAGGCGGCCACTGCGTGAACCTCTGCAGCAGGCGACGAACGCGCTCCGGCTGGGCCATGCCAAGCACCCGGAGTGGCACTCAAGAGTTTACATAATGAGACCTCCTTTGCCAGTAGCAAAATATGATAATAGGTTTTTACCCTTTTATCTGGCAACAAACCTGACACTTTTTTTTTTTACAAGGGATCATGTTTGCATTAACCACAATACTTGCGGTCAGAATGCAAACAAAAAAAAACAGCACTCTGATAATCAGAGTGCTGGTTGGAGTGCGTGTCGATTGTGTAACAATGGTTGCATAAAATACATCACAATTGCTTTTTTTAATGGATGACGTAAGGAAGTGATGTCATGGAATGATGGGGTCAACAGTGTGAGTGTGATGAATCACGTAACGCACACATTTCCACTTTTCCCATAAGAATATCAAAAAAATCTTAGTCGGAAACTTGAATGTATGTCAAAGGGTATGCATTACATAAAGGTGTGCGTGATATATTAACATGCCATGACATACTGATCAGACACGCGGTGAGAATAATGGAACAAAAGTGTGAGAGGTGTGCAACGTACATGGAAGAGGTGCGTGCTTGAAATCCTAGCGAGACAGAGAGGAGGAGCACGTGGTTTTAAACAAAGCATACGCACTTTAATGCAAACCATATCTAAAGTTATCAGCAGGCATGGGCAGGGCACGCCGTGACGAGGGCGGTGATATAGGTGGGTGACGCAAATGACGGAACGCCCGCCAAAGGTTCACGTTTACTTTGTTTAACCAGGTGAGGGAACTCGGAGAGACTAGGATGGAGGAGTCTCACTTTTGCAAGACTGGAGCCTATGTCACAAAAATGTCAACAACAACAACAACAACAAAAACGAATTACAGGAAGGGATAAATCGTTGCACACAAGTAACAGCGTAACGAAACCAAGAGCAAACACAACAAAGGAATTGCAAAATTACACCAAAAACATAAATCAATGTTAAACAAAAAAAAAACATACAAACTCCACACACTCACAAAACAAGGACAAAGGGACCCCGAAAGCCTTTATCTGACCTTTGGGTGCAAGTGCTGTTAGCGAGCACCTATTAAGGCTGGCACAGCACACGACGGGGTTGATGGCCAGCACTGTGCCCGGCCGCCTTTGGCTCCCCCGCAGTGCTGATGTTTTACTACGCACCGCACCAGCCGCTCATTTATGGCTGAATCGACCTAGGGGAGGCACGGGACCGGGTCCAGATACTCACCACCGTAACTATTGGTCGTGAGCGGGAATCGACCTCGGGTTTGCCACCGGCTTCCTAACGCAGTGCGCCGGTGAGCACGTTGAGCTACGTCGGGTGCGAAAGAGAAGTTCAACATGCGTGAATTCAACACACGCACACACACTCACAAAGCCAAAGATCCCCCACCCCCCCCTCCTCCCACCGCATTGTGTCCTCAAAAGACTCGCACGCAATCGCTCACACTGCCCGACAGCGACGACAGCAGGAGGAGCCGAGTCGTCACATTTCGAGGCCAACTCGCCACAACAAAGATCGAGAGGAGCGGAGGGAGGGATAGCGCAACGTGCCCCGCTTTCTAAATGCAGCTCCACGGATACGGAACCGGCGTTCGCGGGGAGGAGCCTTTAGGGGGGGGGGGGGGTGGTGGTGACGAAACGCTCGCGCGGGTGACGTCACAATGGCCACGCTTGTGACGTCGTAGAATCGCGCGCGCGCCTAATGCCGCGCCACGGTTGCCAGTTCAAGGTTGCGTCTGCAGCGTGGATATTATAACGGTGCAGGATCGTTCTCTCTCTCTCTCTCATCGTATATCGATGGATAAACCGTAGAACCCCTGTTAAGGATCACCCCTGTTAACGACTAATCGCTTAACGACGGGTCTTCATAGAGCCCAATGTGTAGTCTATAAGTAGTGTCATGTATAGTAGTGTATTTAGTGGTGTATAGTAGTGTATAGTAGTGGAGTGTATAGTAGTGTAAATAGTGGTGTATAGTAGTGTATATAGTGGTGTATAGTAGTGTATAGTGTATAGTAGTGTATATAGTACTGTATAGTAATGTATATAGTGGTGTATAGTAGTTTATATAGTGGTGTATATTAGTGCATAGTTTATAGTAGTGTATATAGTGGTGTATAGTAGTGCATAGTTTATAGTAGTGTATATAGTGGTGTATAGTAGTGCATAGTTTATAGTAGTGTATATAGTGGTGTATAGTAGTGTATAGTAGTGTATATAGTGGTGTATAGTAGTGTATAATGTAGTGTAGTGTATAATGTAGTGTATAGTAGTGTATAGTAGTGTAGTGTATAGTAGTGTATGTAGTGGTGTATAGGAGTGTATAATGTAGTGTAGTGTATAATGTAGTGTAGTGTATAATGTAGTGTATAGTAGCGTATATAGTAGTGTAGTGTATAGTGTATAGTAGTGTATAGTAGTGTATAGCAGTGTAGTGTATAATGTAGTGTAGTGTATAATGTAGTGTATAGAAGTGTATAGTAGTGTAGTGGCTCCATAGAGCCCAATGTGTTTGCTTACCGTTACCGACCATTCCCGTGTTCACGATGGGCTGTTGCAGGAACAGCAAATATTAATTAATGCATTGATTAACCATGTTTGTTTTAACGTTACGTGTTTATTATGGTTTTATTATCTTTATGTATGAATATGCATTGTTTAAATATTATAAACGTGCGTTTTTTTGGGTGAAAAGGGGAAACTTTCGATGCTATCAGAACGAATTAAACCTTTAACGTCTATTTCCTATCTCGCTTACCGACCAAATCACTTTACGACCGGCGTCGTGTAACCAATAACCGTTGTTAAGAGGGGTTCTACTATATATACATATATAGCACCTTATTCCAAGGCGCTTTACAACAATTATACAAATTATACATAGGATGAAAGCAGTTGAGATAATAATGAGTGGGGTTGATATTAAGAGTGGTGGTGATGTAGTTATGTTGACAGAAGGGACTCGGGGCTAAGGAGGGGCTGGGGTAGTGATAGGGGTTGGGGTAGTGATAGGGGTTGGGGTAGTGATAGGGGTTGGGGTAGTGATAGGGGTTGGGGTAGTGATAGGGGTTGGGGTAGTGATAGGGGTTGGGGTAGTGATAGGGGTTGGGGTAGAGATAGGGGCTGGGGTAGTGATAGGGGTTGGGTAGAGATAGGGGTTGGGGTAGTGATAGGGGTTGGGGTAGAGATAGGGGCTGGGGTAGTGATAGGGGTTGGGGTAGTGATAGGGGTTGGGGTAGTGATAGGGGTTGGGGTAGAGATAGGGGTTGGGTAGAGATAGGGGTAGGGGTAGTGATAGGGGTTCGGGTATTGATAGGGGTTGGGGTAGTGATAGGGGTTTGGGTAGTAATCGGGGTAGTGATAGGGGCTTGGGTAGTGATAGGGGTTTGGGTAGTAATCGGGGTAGTAATATGGGTAGTGATAGGGTAGGGGTAGTGATAGGGGTTTGGGTATTGATAGGGGTTGGGGTAGTGATAGGGGTTTGGGTAGTAATCGGGGTAGTGATAGGGGTTGGGGTAGTGATAGGGTAGGGGTAGTGATAGGGGTTGGGTTAGTGATCGTGGTAGTGGTAGCCCTGGTCGTAGCTGGGGGCAGGGAGTAGCAGTATGAGGATGATGGGGTAGGGAAGGAGAGACGGGGGTTGTGTTAACAGGAGGCACGGTGGAAGCAGGTTGCTCGTGAAGATGGTTGCTTTATTTGGACGGCAAGTTGCATGCGACCTCTCGTCGAGGTCTCCCGCCCGGCACCTCTCCTCCACCCATCTCGCTCCACTGACCACGGCAAACCCGCCGCGTCCTCCGGAGCGCGTCCAGAATGACGACGACGACGACGTTTCTCGTCGTACCCGGAAACAGGGCCGCCCACGCTGAGCTGCGTTCTCTCCGGAGCTGCACCACCAGCAACGGCAGCAGCAGCCAGCCAGCAGCTCAAGGCACTCACCTGGTCCAGGCTCTCACCTGGTCCAGGCCTCACCTGGTCCAGGCTCTCACCTGGTCCAGTCTCTCACCTGGTCCAGGCTCTCACCTGGTTCAGTCTCTCACCTGGTCCAGGCTCTCACCTGGTTCAGTCTCTCACCTGGCCCAGGCTCTCACCTGGTTCAGGCTCTCACCTGGTTCAGGCTCTCACCTGGTTCAGGCTCTCACCTGGTCCAGGCTCTTACCTGGTTCAGGCTCTCACCTGGTCCAGGCTCTCACCTGGTCCAGGCTCTCACCTGGTCCAGGCTCTCACCTGGTTCAGGCTCTCACCTGGTTCAGGCTCTCACCTGGCCCAGGCTCTCACCTGGTTCAGGCTCTCACATGGTCCAGGCTCTCACCTGGTCCAGGCTCTCACCTGGTTCAGGCTCTCACCTGGTCCAGGCTCTCACCTGGTCCAGGCTCTCACCTGGTTCAGGCCCTCACCTGGTCCAGGCTCTCACCTGGTCCAGGCTCTCACCTGGTCCAGGCTCTCACCTGGTTCAGGCTCTCTGTTCGGGTTACTGCACGAGGGACTTTGACTTCTGGCTCTGCGCCATCCGAGTTCCCCATTGCACACTGCGTCCGATTTGTAAGAGTATGCGCCAACAGTATACATTGCTTTCGATTCTCAACACGATTGGTGTTTTGCTGCACAACATTCCGATTCATGATGGATGTTTGCTGGGGTGAGGCCACTCTGCGATGATCTGACCGAACCTGTGTCATGAGACCCTCCACCACCCAACGCAGCCGAGCAAGAGAAGTCGTGACGACACCGCTGCCGGTCGTTTGAGCTCGCGTGGCGGTTGACATTGAAGAGTCGCCCTTCAACTCACCTCGTCCTGACCCCCCCCCCGCACCTCCCGATTAGCCATGGTTGGCTACGTACGGTGGGAAAGAAGTTCACGCACACACACGCACACAATGCCTTCGACACGGCCATTATGAACGTCCTAAGAGGCACTCACTGACGGTCACCCCAGCCTCTGAGCATTATCCCATGACTCCAATGGTTGCTGTCCTTACCACTCGCCGCCGCCCGATTCGCCACGGTAGCCTACGTACGGTGCGAAAGAAGTTCAACGTACACGCACGTACAAGCCCGGCGAGTCTGCGGAAACGACCGCAATCAGCACGTGGCAATTTGAAGGAGAAAAAAACACGTAAACTCCAAATATACAGCAGCAGCAAGCGTCACGGTCGGGATTGAACCCACGACCTCCTGTATACCAGGCGAGGTAGTTAACATCTCATAGCCACCGTGATGATGATGATGATGAGAGACACGCAAACTCCAAAAATACAGCAGCAGGCGTCAGGGTCGGGAATGAACCCACGACCTCCTGCATACCAGGCGAGGTAGTTAACATCTTACCACCACGTACACAGCGGCATAACACAAATTTCACATCATGATCCTCCAACCGCGATAGTGTTGTGCGTGGAGAGCAGAAACTACAATGGCTTTGATGAATCATCAAACAATCACAATCGATTATCTTTCTCTACCGGTGGTTGCCTGTGCCACAACGCGTCTTGTGGCACAGGAACATTTTTGATGTTTTTTTTCCTGCATTTTCTGTTTGCACAGTGACATAATCACTTGAAGATGTTTTCTTGTTCATGTTTTTTTTGTTTGTTGCGGTTGCACCCGATTCAAGAGCCGAATGGCTCACAGGGCTATACCAAAATAAATGAACTATGAACTAAATGAACTATCTTGTGTACCTGGTGACATTTTACGCTCGTTGAACCGCTTTTTCCATATTTTTCAACGGAATAAACAAAGTCATTATTTAAATAGCACCGGCGGAGCAAGGGAATAAGAGGGGTCCGTATGGGGATAGGGCAAGGGTAGGGGAGGGGAGTTGGTCACGGTAGAGGGGTGCATGGGTGCAGTGGGGAGGGAAGAGGAAGAGAATGTCAAGGGAGAAGAGAGCAACGGAATCACAATAACCCGAACTTCACAAATGCACGAGTCCGTTTTTAAAAGTAAACCTCAACCCCTCCCCATCTCTTTCCCTCGGCTGGCCAGCGGTGGTGGACAGGTTAAGGTGCAAAATGTCCACGTTTTGTCGTGGCGAGGAGCGGCGGCGGCGACGGCTCGTGCGGATTCCCGGGCGGCGAGCGGTGGAATCGGACGCCCGCTGCCGATGTCCAGGCGCAACTCTTGAAGTTTTGATCTCGGCCACCCCAGAGGGAGGGAGGTTGGGGCACGTGGTGTGCTCTCGACAAGAATTGCGTTTGGACAATCAGCAGAGGGACGCCCCCCAAAGTTCGCTTCCAGGCAACTTGAAAAGTAGTCGGTTACGCCGCCTGCGATCCTGTGGCAGCAGCAAGCGATGGTTTGTGGTTATCTGTTCCGGAGGAGGAGGGCCCTCTGGAAGAGGACAGTTGTTGTCGCCCCTCCAACAACAACGGAGGGCGAAGGAGCGCCGGGTGGCTAAAGTGCAGCGAGTTGGCGTAGTAGGGACGTTCGACACTTCACGTGGCCTTAACGTACACCTAGCCTGGCACAAGCGCCATGGCGAATGGCGATTGTTGTTGTTTTGTCTGTTCGGGCTATAGGGGGGAGTCTTGGTATGGCAGCGCACACGAACCTGGCGACCCGAGTTCGATTCCAGTGACGCATATCTGAACCGGTCCTGAGCCTCCTCCCCTGGTGCAGCGTGTAGCAAGCATTGCCACTGGGGATACAAAGGCGGCCGGGCGAGGTGTTGGCCACCCACCCCTCGTGCACCGTTCCGGCCTTTATAGGTGCTCGCTTACAGCACTTGCCCCAATCGCATGTTAAGGCTACAGGTGGGATCTTTGTCTTTGTTTAATGTATGTATGTATATATGTGGTGGTGGTGGGGAGCGGTGGTGCAGTGGTTCACGCACTGTGTTAGACCAGGACGCCGTGAGCGGGAATCGAACCCCGGGTCGCCGGGTTCGTAGCGCAACGCGCTATCCGCTGCACTACCGCTACCCTTGCACACACCGACACACGCACATAAT